TATGAGTCATAAAGTTATAGTCCTATAGCAGATAGTCATAGTGATATAAATAAGAGAGTGAGGATAAAAAAAGAACACAACAAAAACTAAACACAAAAAAAAAGTAATAAACGTAATTATCATTCTTGAAGAAGCGAAACGGTCATGTGAGTATTAATTACAATTACTATAAGTAGTGGTGTGATAGATGCACCTAAAAAGGAAGTTGGCAATTAACCCCCCTTCTAGAGTAACGTCGCTACGAGAGGATCGTTCTGGTAGTCACTAAAAGAGATAGTAACTCGAACAATCGACGAAGGGTGACAAAGGAAAGAAGAAGATTAATTATAGGTTTAAGATCGGCTAAGTTAAATCCACGCCTCGAGTAGAGGAAAGAAGAACAACCTACCTAACGTTACACGAGTTTGACCTGCCCCAAGCGACAGACTCACCGTTTTAATATCAACAATAGGTATAGATAGCATGTTTGACAAAATTGTATGATTTAATGCTTTTATATTTGCACTACAGTTTGGCAAAAACCAATAAAAACAGATCAAGTTATTAGATCTGAGTTTTACTTACCTCACTCATCCATTTCCAAATATCCTTTGCGATATTTGAACATTTTGATAAATTTTAAGTAGAATAAATCAGATTATAATAAAATTTATACTATAGATAAAATACAAATATGCTTAAATAATATATAAGTTAAAATAAATATTAAATTAATAAAAATTTTTTTTATAATAAATTTTAAAAAATTTATTGTTGCAATATTTTTAAGTTTTTTAAAAAAATATTTTTTTTTATTTATTTATAAAAAATACATACATATAATTATAAAAATATATTTAATTTCTATTACTATTTTGTATAACTACTTTTTGCCTTAATAATATCATTAATTCTTTTAGATATTGTTTTTATATATTTCTTATAAGTTTTTTTGGATATTTTATTTCAAATTTCTAATAAATTATCCAGAGAGTTTTTTTATTATTAATATTAATCTCTAAATTATTAACTCTTATTTTCATATTATTTCAGATGTTTTATATTAAATTTAAATCTAAAGATTTTAATAGTCAAGAAATAGTTCTAATTTTATTATTTTTAACCATTTTTGAACTATTTTAACTTTATTTTTAGAATCATTATCATGTTAAAATATAATATCTTTGGGAATTAAATTTTAATATTTTAATAAATACATTAATTTTTTTTTCAATATAAAGTTCTATATTAAGATTTTCTTCAATCCTAAATAAATATTCTATGTCATAATATGTAAAACATCCTCAAATATTAATACTATCTTTATTAAATTTAGTTGTAGGAATTATATATTAATCCTTTAAAGGTTTTGTAAATTTTCTCCAGCAATATTTGTATCCTTTGGCTCCAAAAAGTAAAAATTTGGTTTTATTAGACTAGTTCACCATACTCCAATCTTCTATAGTTTAATTTCTATGTAATTTTGCAAATTCTAATCAGATTTTTTTATGTGTTTTACTTAAAAAAGGTTTCTTGTGCAGTGTATAAGCTTTAAATTTATTTTTTTTTAAGAATTCTTTGAATTGTGTTGACACTAATATTTATTTTTTCATATTTTTTCAAGGATCTATATATATCCATGGCTGTTTTGTATTCTCCTTTTAAAATTTTTTAGATAATAATACATTCTTCATATAGAATACATTTAGGCAGACAATCAGGAATAGGTTTATTTTCTAATTTGTTTGTTTCAAGATATTTTTTTTAAAGTCTAAATATAGTGGAATAATGAACATTGTTATCAATTTTGACAGCAATCTGATGTAAATTATAACCTTCTTCTAATAAAATAATGGCCTTTGCCCTTTTCTCTATAGATAACTGTCTTGAGAACATTTGGTTTATACAAGGTTTGAGTAAATTTTTGCATTTTTATATTTTTACCAAAAAACGCCAAAAGTTGTGCAACAGTAAATTTTTATTAATTGCATCATAAAATTTTTTTTTATTATTTTAATCACTATTCTACCGTATACACTGAATAGATTAGATTATATACTGTATATACTGTTAATTTCGCCGTGATTTGATCAAAATTTTAACACTTAAAGATCGACGATCAGGTGTTGCGTTCTTTTTGGGAGACGGTGTAACATGATCTTCATCTGATTTATAGAAACGTTGACAATAAACTGACCACCAATAGTGAATTTGCTTCATAGTAACAAGTGAGCTATTATTATCGAACTTTTGATGAAAATGTACTCGCAACTGTACAGGATCCATGTGAAGATTTTGCATAATCTCACTCTTTATTTCTGATGGAGTCGTAACATCAACAGGTTTCTCATGCTGAATATCATGACGCAATTTTACTATTACTTCATTCGCTGGGATATCAACATGTATATTCAATGTACCATAACAGTTGAAACGAGTCATTCTTTTCCGGTTTGATTCCTTGTATTCGCGCTCAAGTTCACGGCATTGTGAACATGCAAGATAGAATGTTCCGACTTCAGGATGACGCGATGACATATCAGGTCCTGTTGTAATTCTATAAAATAAATTTAGTATTGGCATTTAGGCTTATTTAAAGTAAGGTACTTACGTCCAATTATATTCATCAATTCCTTGGATTTCATTTACTATTAGTCTTACTATATTCTTTGCATTATGGGATACTGTAACTAACGTATCATTATCAAGTTTAATGCGCAGGTTGAAAGAAAATGCTCCGTTCTGTTCAATATTTGGGTAATTATTTCCGAAGGTGGACCGGAAATTTTCTGGACTGATCCTAAAATTTATATTATATATGTATTGTTTAAAAGCTGGATCCGAAAAAATCATATCTAGCATTTTTGTCGCCTTCAAAAATAATTACCCATTTGCAAATTTAATGGATATATAATTGATAGCTTCAGTAAGTTCGAAAGTTGGATAGTTGCTATTAATGGTAAGTTTTTTGGCGGCTCTATTTTTGGACCTCGCGATTAGACAAACCGAACATGTTTTAAAAATTTTGCCTCGATAAAAAAAGGCTTCTTCGGATAACCGACGTTGACATGAGGTACAGGTGTTCATATTGTAAAAAGATATTTAAATGGAATTTAGTTTAATGAATAAAAAAAATCTTAATTTAATATATGCGTAAGAACAAACTTAAATTTTTGGCACAGCATATAAAAAACCTTATTATGATCGTGTCGTGTCATATTTAAAAAAAGTATAATCGCGTCTGATCTAAATTGACGATCAAATCGGCTCTGATTATAATCACGTGCCCGGACAATTTCTCCTACATGCTGATTATTTGTTAAAATAAGATTAATTATTATTATTATAATATAAGATTGCAAAAAATTTTATTAATTTAAAATATTATTAATTTTTCTTTGATAAATTATAAATTGCGTTTTTGAAGTATTAAACTTTTTTTTCATAAAAAAGAATGCTCATTTTGTGATAGATGTTTCTGGTATATCCTATAAATTATAATGTTGCAAAAAATTTTATTAATAAAATTTTAATTTTCTCTTTAAGATAGTTAATAAATTAGTACTAGCCAATAAATATTTGAAATATCTGGTAAATAAAATAGAAAAAAAGAATTATTATTCTTTTCGTTTGATCTCTTGTAAAGAAAAAGAAGATTCTATAAAATTATGTCTCGAAGAATCTTGGAATTTATTATTCATATTAGCAGGCAAAATTCTAGGATGGCTGCAGTCAATCGAGTCCTTAACTCCAAAAATGTCTTGAATTTTTTTTTCCTCAATTATTATAGAAAGTGAAAATCGTAATTTTGCAGGGAGTTTAGTCACACGAGACCGACGCAACATTAATTCCTTCGAAAACCATTTTTTCTTAAATTCTAAAGTTAATTCCGTCTTGACTTCGAACTCTTTTACAAAATTTTTTGCGTATCTGAAGTGAGCCTTGTGTTTGGGTACTTGCGAGTAATCAGGAATCTTTTTTTCCTAAATTTAAATATATAAATTATTAAATTATACTGCCTTGTTAATGGGGGTTTTCAATATATTTAAATACCTCGTTTCTTATTCGATGTAGCCATGTAATCTCTCTGAAACCTCGATTAGGATTACTGATAGAAATAAAGGGAACTTTTTCTCTTACTGTTTTTTCTCGATTTAAGTTCAAAATGGACGTAGGATTAAAGCCATCAATTCCAGCTGATAAACCTTTTATTTTTGACAAAGAAACCTGCTTATCTTCAATTTTACTATACGGAGAGGATTCTTCAACAGTAATTAAAACAGCTGTATTGTCTTGCTGACAGTTAGGATAGGCTTTGAAGTTGATTTTAGCTTCAACAGGGTAATATCCTTCTCCGCTGATTTCTTTAAATTTATCAGACAACATCTCCCCTCCTGAAAAGTTTATCTTGGAGATTTCAAATTCTAACTTATTATCTTTATTCCCCGGGTGCCACATACTCAATATAAAATGTATAGTGACTACCTGACCAGTTTGATTAATGTCATTGCTAGACGTAATTTTAGCAGAAGCGGATGCATCAATAATTCCGTATGGCATTGTAGCATTCGCGTCATTCGGGTCCTCTCCAGGGTCATCTCCATCATCTCCGCCATCACCTTCTTTTTCCTTTCCTTTGCTATTTTTGTTTAATTTATTTTCATTTTCATCATCACCTCTCTGACTTTTGTTGGAATCGCCCTCGTCATCTTTTTTATATTCCTTGCCTTTATTAATATCATCCTTGCTATCTTTGTTTTCTTCTTTATTCCCATCAGAATTATTTTCTCTTTCTCTAATATCCTCTTTCTTTTCTACCTCAAAATTTTTACTCGAGTTATCATTATTACTTCGTTTAGAACCGTTATTGGGTTTATCCTCGTCGAATAATTGGCAAATAACAATATCTTCTGGTGGTCGTTGTAATATTTTAAAAAAATTTTCAATAATTTGTTCGGAGAGTTCAGTTGATACATTGACATAGAGAATTATAGAAGGTTCCTGATATGACTTTACAAAGGTAATCCCTATTCCAATCGCACTGGTTGGAAGAATATTAAAAATTTCTTCTTCATGCAACTGCAATGATTCCAATAATTCAATATCAGGTTTTCTGTTACCTTCTACTTTACAATAAACATCTAAACCTGGTATGGTTACTTTCTTTTGGCCATTGATCTTAGTATTATAGGTAATCCTTAAATGATTATTGAAAAAGTCTTGCTCTGCAGGGTAATAATTGTTGCTGAACTAAAATATTATGTCATAATAAAGAGTTACAACGATAAAATGTAAAGTTCATACCTTCGGAAAAGCAAGTCCGGCAAGGACCATCGTTGGTGTGACAGTACTCAGCTAAATTATTTCGTGTTATAATAAGGTGTTACTACCTTCGGAGAAGTAAGACCTAAGGACAATTATTGCTGTAACAATACTTACTTAGTGTAACACTGTTATATGGACTCTCGTATATGTTTTCTGGGTTCAGGATAGGTGGGAGGGGATCTACAGGGTCGTTTGGTGGCATGCGACACATCTTAAGAAAAGATTCGTAGATTTCTCTTGCATTTGGTCGATTTGAGGGGTCCGCATCCCAACATTTTGTAATCAACTCTTTCGGTTCCTGTGGGAAATAATTACCGAATTCTGGAGTTTGACCTTTATGAATCTTTAAGTGATAAATAAAATTAGGGTTATATTTAAAATAAGGTGGTTTTCCTGTCACTATTTCCCACATTATACAACCGAAACTATATATATCTGCGGCTTTAGAATAATTCTTATAGAGTACAACTTCAGGAGCGATATAAGCAAGAACACCAAAAACACTTCCTGTTTGATCCGGAGCTACATTCGCCGTTGAGCTGCATCCTAAATCGCTTATATATGGAGTATTTCCATCAAGCAAAATATTACCACTATGAAAATCCCTATGGACAATTCCTTTATTATGAATGTCCTTAAGACCGTCGGCTATTGTTAATAAAATCATTAATTTTTCCTTCCATTGCAGAGTTTGATTCTTCCGTAAATAATCTCGTAGATTCCCGGAAGGGGCATATCTCATCACCATTATATAATTTTTAGTTTCAGGATTTCTTGAAAGTCCATAACATCTAATTATGTGAGCAAGACCATTACACTTCGAATGATTCCTAATCTAAGTTAGTTCAAATAAATTATATTGTTCACATACAGGACGTGGTGTAAAATGAGATTTGCATAATCGGATTATAATACCTCGATTAAAAATTGATCGCTTATCTTGAAGGAGTCTTTTAATTCCTTTAGAGCCACCATATGATTTTCTTTTCTTACCCATTTTTTCTGATTTTCATCCCAATTACGTGGACCTTTTATCCAAATAGCGGACGACACTTTACCGAATCCACCTTCCCTAATGAACACAATATCCTTTAGCTCATTATAAGGTATCCAATCTATTGCCTGACATGCATTTTGCGAATGGTATTGAACATCCCGAATAAACGCGTCAATCTTGATATCACCGCTGGTCCATTCCTCACTCTCAAAGTTTTTTGATTCGCAATTCTGACACCAAAGAAAACCGCTTCTTGAAAAAGAACAATTTGGACAAGTTCCATAATCACTCATAATTTTTGACCTCCCTAAACAACTACTGATGCAATTTCCCATTGAATAGTTTTTAAAAACTTGACCTTTATCTGAGCATGTTCGATATTTAGTTTGCAGTTATAAATGAATATTTGTTTGGAAAAATCAAGAAATTGGTATCACCAAGTTTTTACAGTTGGTAAAGAATAGTTTGGATGCCAAAATCAGCTATTGTACTCTTGTACTATAAACAAGCTTATCATATGATACAATGGAATGCATAAGTGTATATTTGCGTATGTGTGCACATAGTGTAGTGTGTGTGAACAACTTAATTTTGTATCAATATCAATGAGATTTCATATTATTGAAAAGATTAGG